AGGCGTCGATCCCCACCGAAGACAAACGACGAGGGCCGGCGATCACCTCCACATCCGAATCCGAACCCGAGTCGGAAGGTAGGAAAAGTAGGGTCGAAACCGGCGGGGCACCATCCCGTTCCACGTCGACCTCCATCGAAGACGAAGACCGCGCCCGAACCACCGGAGTAGGGGAAACGCGTTTCATAACCGGGGCCGTCGACTCGGAATCCTCCGGATCACTCTCGGTGCTCGGGAATTGATCATCCAACCAGGCCGCCAACGGGAGAAAGCTGAACGAAACACCCGCTTCCGCCTCATCCAACGAGGGGCCGCCCGAGAAGGCAAACTCCTCCCGAGGATCGGGCAAAGAAACCACCCGGATGAAGGACGACCACCGGTCGGCATGAAGGAACGGCGGCACGAGAGATGGAGGGAGAGGACCCAGTAGTCGGGCCAGCGTATCGGGCCGAGCTACGTTCTCTTCGGGAAACACGCGAAAAGCGGCCACGTGGGCTAGGACGAGGAATCGATCTGAGACGAAGGAAGGGAGACCGACAGAAGCAGCGCAAGACAAGGCGTGAAGGATGAGGCGCTGAACGGAGCCAGTCAGCACGCGGCCGAAAGCGCACAGAGAGGGAGACATACCACCCAACGCCACAGACGGGGAAAAAACGAATCACTGGGCGAAGCAGCGTCGGCAGCGAGGAGGTGCGCAAGGAGGCCACGGCCCAGCTGTCCAAACAAAGGGCGAACATCCTGAAGAGAGCCGTCCTCGCGACGCCAGACGAAGGAGGAGGGGAACGCATCGAACAGAACACCGAAATAGAGGTGATGGGGCCCGAAGACCAGCGGCTGCCACAAACCGGCCTTCATTAGGCGGTCGAATTCGCACTGCCACAGGATTCGGCGGGAAGACGACGGCCGCGGGGGCGCTGCGGGGGGAACTGGGAGAGCGGGAGCTCGATGTGAACGGACTACGGGGGCCAGCAGAGGGAGTAGCTTGGAGGAATAGTCGACGGCTTGAGACGGGGGCAAGTCCTCCAACAGGCGCAGGGGCTCGAACGACTCCCGGTACGACGGGTCTCGCCCTTGCGCGATGGGCCAGGAAGCAGGAAACTCGACGAGGGACATAGAGGCGAAACGGACGAACAGACGACCCGGCTCTGAGGATGGGGGAACCATCTGAGAACTGAGAGGGGGCAATAACCCGGAGCGGTACAAGTTGGGGGACGACATAAAGAGGATTAGAAGGGGAAGCTCCGGCTTATATGGGGGAACGAACGCGTTCTATATCGAACTCGACCGAGGCGCGCAGCACAGCCTACTCGCAAGCACTACGAACAAAGGACGCGCAACTGAATTGAAAAGGACCTACGCTATACCGCACGTGACCGCGATGAAACACTTGATGGACAGGAAGAATCGATCTGCGAACGCCACGAGGCGTCAGAAGCCGCGGGAGATTAAAATGCGCAGCCGAAGCTTAGCTTAAGCTTATGGGCTGGATGGAATTTGCGATTGGAAGGACGAGCTAGAGTCAAAATTAAACCCAAGAAACCGGGGCGACCGAGCCACGCCGACTCGAGACGAGTCGTTCCTAGGGAGGGGGTGATGTCACGGATAAGACCCGGCCCGTCCGCTCCGGCGCTGGTGTCGGGCCATTGCGGCCCGCAACACGCAGCACGTGACGACGGGGAACATGCGCCCCAGTAGGAGGAACGCACACGTGGGAAGCACGTGACCGAGAACGACAGCGTCGAGCCGTCGCCGAGCCCAACTCGACACCAGGGGAATGGGGAGGAGTGCTAGGAGGTCAGGAGTAGCGCCTGGCCCGCAAGGGATGTGCGATCGTCCCCTCTGCGGCCAGGAACGGGAGCGAGGAGGAGGAGGAGAGGCCAGGGTGTCCGATCACCCCCTTTGCGGGCCCAGCGTATATAATGCGCGATAGTGTACCCTGTACTCTATCGCTTAGATCGTCTGAAGAACTACCTTACTCCGTGCGAGGAGACGCTATCGACTCATCGGGCCCGACACGACCCGATTCGAACCTTCGACCACCGACTACGGCAAGGGACCGAGTTCACGGGCCCTTTCGGTTTCGATCTACCCCGCCCGCCATACTTGCGGGCCCGACTATTCGTCTGTTCTGTTCCGGGCGCGCGTTCTTAGGAGAAGTCCTTGCACGGCCCGACCCGCAGTCTGACACGGAGTGCATTACAATCAAGCTGATAACCTCTGCAGATGATTGCAATGGGTATAGCTGGGGAACGATGCTGTCCCATTCTTCGCCTAGTGAGCCGATGAAGATGATACGGAAAGCGTCGTCGGTGACGTTCGCCCCTTGGTCATTTGCGTTCCTCCAGAGGATCCGCATACGCGCGATATGCTCTTGCATCGGGGTACCCGGTTGGAGGAAGTTCGAGACCAACTCACGATTCGCTTGGATTAGCGCCATCGCGTTGACGCGTTTATGGTTATCAGTGAGTGACTTCCAAGCTTCTGCGGCTGTACCATCCGTCTTGACCCCTAGGCCAATCGGATCCTTGACGTTTAGGATGAGCAAGGCTTTGGCCATTGCATCTCGATGGACCCACTCGTCGTGGCTCGGGGTGGTGGAGTAGATGGATGTGGGGTCTGGGGGAAGTGGTACGGCTGCCGGAGAAATAGTGGTGGACGACGATGTCGTTGTCGTTTGGGTAATAGGGGCAGAGGGAATTGGAGATGGTTTGGCGATGAGCCCTAGGATGTATCCGCGCAGTCCGCGCGCGTCCGCAATAGCAAGAAACTTTGTTTCGAACCCTACAAAGCCATTGCCGTCAAATTTCTCCCCGTCTGGGAGAATAGTCAGGGAGTTCGAGTTCGAGCTCATCTTGAGCCTAGTCAGGGGTTGCGACTACAACGAGTAAGTCGATGCTGGTCTTCGCAAGTCAGTTCGTGAGTCGTACTGCGTCAAAAGGTGTGTCTTGAGTGATTCAGAGTCTAATGGTTACGCGCGGGGCCCATAACCTGTAGAAACAGCACTCAGTCGGACACTACGGTGCAAGACTGAGGTACGATCCTGGAATACGTCGAGTATAAGTAAGTGATCGAGGGGAAAATGAAATGGATCGGTAGGTAGGTAGTGAGACGGTATCAAGGGGGAATAACGGTGTTGGTACGCGTCGTTAGACGCGCGGCTATATGGCCAGCCGTGCCACTACTCAACATGAGCAATCAAGGAGATCACCAGGACCTTCAACTCAACTAATCAAATCCTAATTTTGTGCGGTTTTGTGTTGGGGGTTCGAGCCGCAGGAAACGGCTAACGGATTCAGACGTTCTTGTTGATATCAGTTATAATTGGGATGTTGTTTAAATTATGTTTGACTGTTTTCACTTGAGATGAACAATAGAGCAGATGGTTGAGATGATATGTGATTTGTTGAGAGGAGCAATATGGCTCAACTCTCCCTAACTTGACTTAACCTGACTTGACTTAACTTGACTTGACCTGACTTGACTTGACTTGACTTGACTTAACCTAACTTGACTTAACCTAACCTGACGTTTATCTTAACCTGACGATATGTGAAGTGTGACAAAACCCGACTGATGTGACGATGGTAGTAGTCACACCCAGGGGGGCTAATCTATTAATCTAGGGTTTTACAGGCCTCCTTATATACTACTCTCAAATTAATTACATAATCCGTGACGGTGTGACTTGATCCACTGATCCGGTTCTAGAATGTTCTAGTTCAGGCTTCTGGAAGGTTCTAATATAGGTCCTGGGTCAGACTTGCCAAATATGGACATGTTACCCTTGGTTCGGTTCAGAGTCTAGACCGGTCCCTGGCCTAGAGCAGGCGTAGACCTTGTGGCCGGGTGCATATAGATTTGATTCAAAGGTTTGCAACATTTATTCTGAGATTCTTCATATATTCCATAGCTATTGTGCATAAAAATGAATTTATGGGGTCCATATGTTATCATTCATATGGTGGTCATATTGACCGCTCATTATCTCCCCTTTTCATAAATCTTGACCGTCCTCGGTCAGTTCAAGCAACAATACATTTTTCATCACTTCCAGCTACATTTTTCACTGGGTTTTGTTTTTATGCTATGCAAAATATGAAGATCAAGTCCCAGTTTCAACTAGGTGGAGTTTCACCATTAATGTCCTTGTTTCCTGTTTGAATCTATCATTATCACTGCACTATAGTACCTCTGTTGTGCCCTATATATATTATTATTTCCTAATTTTTCCAGCTGTTTCCATGATTTTCTGGCAATTTTCTGTCAATTTCTCTGTTATTTAACCAATTCTTAATGGTTTCCCAGTCATCTTGTTGATATCTGGTAATCATAAAATGTTTTGTTAACGTTTGATGTCCTCTTGTATTTCAAACCTTCCAATGACTATGACTTTCTCATTTTAATGTTTTTATTATGGCTGAGATAGCGTCTCTGCAAGCATCGTAGTGCTATCTAATCTCGCTCGGCGATCTCGGCGATCGAATCTAGTTATCTTGGTTAGATCTCTGAACGGCTCGTCGGTCGTCGGTCCGATCCGGCTTCGGTCTCGCGTTCGGCGCCGTTCTCGGCGTCTCATCTCTGTGTTCTGGCGAAATACGACCTATCTGGAGTGTCAGGTGGCTGGCCGTGGTGGATTTTGGGGCGCAAACGGCGGGGATGAGGGCGGGATGCCCATTCGACCTCTCCTGTCGATTGAGCCCAGCTCCCATCTTCCACCGTGTGAGCACCCCATATGCCCAGTCCTTTGCAAAAGATGTGGACAGTTATCCACCGGTCCAATGCAAAAGATGTCGAGTACCCAAACGGGTGGTCACACCAGCCGAAATACCCACCAAATCAATGGTTTTCATTGATGGCATCATCACACCTTGCATACCTAATGATTACATCAACGCAATCAGCGGCCGCTCCACAAATAATCGAAATAATCTATTCAAACGATACATCCGCAATGCCCGACATGTCCGATATGCCCGATACGCCCGATATGTCCGCCATCTTCACCAATCGTCCACCTCCCCTGTCAACAACAGGTCCTCGTCGGTGACGTTGCCGTCCTCCAAATCGTCTTCATCCTTTTCGATGTCCCCATCAGTGTTAATGCTGGCCTCTTCGGTCTCCTCGGTGATGCTGCCCCAGCTCATCATAACCTCCTGGTATTGTTCCCGTCGCTGGCCTTTTCTCAGCTTCGGTTGGGTTCGAATCGACTCTGCCCTCCTCGCTAGGCTTCGGTATAAAGCAACATGCTTGACCGGTGTACGCCACCATTCCCTCAGCGTCTGCAGAAGGGATCTGTCCGACAGGCACCGATATCGCTCTTTGAGCCCACAGGTTCTCTTCGTGAGCAAAGGATTCCGGGAGGCGCCGCCATTCCTCCTGCAAAAGGTTGACCTCTTCGTCCCATCTCCGAACTCGAGCGTAGGCTTTGGCCCACTCTATCCGAAGGGCTAATAAACCGCTTTAGAAAGCAGTGCCGCATTCGAAAGAAACAAAAAACGTACCCTCCTCCATTTCAGCATCAGAGCCCGTGGTTCCCGCCAACGTTCGATGGCGAGAAAGAAAACATAGAGGCCACTGAAAACGACCATGAGCAAGGAAATGCGGCATAAAAGACGCATACGCTTGGGCAGGAGATGCCTTCGCCCAATCGGTGGGCAAATTGACCCCAGGTCGAGGACATGCTGGGCATATAACAGCTAGCTCGCCGGGCGTCGTCCCCAAAACTCCGCGTTGGTCGTATCCACGCCCGCCTCTTTTGACCAACAATAAATGCCGATATTGTCGTGCCATTCGGAGAAAGACCTGGTATCGGTCTGGGGGTTTGAGGCCAGTCGCATCGGTCAATGCTTCCAACGACTTATAGTAGTCGTACCCAGTGATCTTTCCTTGAAGGGTGAGGGAGTGGTAACGATCCAGGCAGGAAAAGGTTGCGCAAGTTCTCGGGACATCGGTGCTAGCGGGGAACATACCGGCCCGCAAGAGTTGGATGTAGCAGGGGTCGCCCGAGAGGTGGCATCCACAGAAATCCACCGAGACGTTTAGAACGCCCCCATGGTGAAGGAGCACGAAGTCGTCCCGGCCTGCAATAGGTCTGTCGCATGATTGAAGCGGAGGGTGACCAAGTTGAATCCGAAGGCCAAGCGCCTTCAAAGAATGCCGCACAAAACAACTGCCGTTCCAAGCCTAACCTGTTATTAGACCAAGAAGTTAAGGCTGGAGGAAAAACGCGCCTCGATCGTATGGAAGGGATTTTCTTGATGGGCCCGAACGCAGCAGGAGCCGCATTTCATGGCCCCGCCAAAACAATCTCAACACCGATAGATAGGCTCGCCTGTTTGGCAGCTTGGGCAAGACGGTCCAAAATCTCCCCTCCCTTCACGCCAGAGCAACACCCTTAAGTACTCATCGCGGTGCTGAAGCATCCATGAGCGCATAGTATAGTCCTGGGATGATCAGCTGCATACTCAAAGACAGATCTTATCCCTCACCGCTGGTCGAAGAACCCGAGGAGTTTGGTCAGCGCCAAAAGCAGCCTGACCCTCCTCCCAATCATCGTCTCCAACACCCATCTGGTAAGCGTCGCAGTCTATATCAATGGTAGAAGGGGCTACGGGGGCCAGCGCAGCCATTCGCAGACGCTTGAGGGGAGAAGGGGGCAAGACAGGCATCGCCTGCGCAACCGTCCCGCCTATTGTCAGCCGACACCCTCTGAATACGCGCATCGACAGGAGCATTGACAACCGATGCGCCAGTTTGAAGCCGTACGGTGTGTGCGTGCGCATCAGGCGAAGGGGACCGCAGTCGCTTGTTTCGAGAATGGCGCCATGACATGGCATCAACAAGGAAAGCCGGCACGTGCCTCGGCTCGGCCTTCAGGCCAGGCTCGTTCCAAAAGAAATTGAAAAATGGCGCCATATTACATGGCATCACCGAGGGAAGCCAGCACGTGCCTCGGCCTCAGCCCGAGTTGAGACTTCGTGAGGCCCTACGTTCGACTCCCGCTCGAAATGCCTCGAAAAAATTGGTATTACAAATATATTACTCATATCGATTGTACATAAGGAGGCCTTGGAGAAAGCGATCTAACAGTTCTGCCTTCAGAATAACCCGCTCGCCTTCCGACATTTGTGCGGCCTTTTGTTGGATGGGCTGGCCCAGCTTGAAGCCGTTCTCCACGTATCGAAAGATTGCACCAGGGGCAAACTGAGCGAAAGAATACCGTATCTCCCCGCTTTGAACAACGGTGTTCGAATGCCGCAATAGAGCAGAAGGGATGGCGATGGTCGAACCGGGGGGGAAACATATCACCCGCTTAAGGTCCCAGAGGACCAAATGCCCTCCTTTGCTAGGATCAAACCAGCCAAGTGCCGTGATGAAGCACCAGCCCCAGGCAAGGTTAGCGATGTCGAGGGTGCGGCCTGGTGACAGTCTGAGGCCCAAAATTGAAGGTGAAGGTTGGGAAAACAGAGGTTTTCGCAGGAAAGAGACGAGGCAGCTGAGGCATCCCCTCGTACAGTTGCTCCATGGTCTGAAGATAGTACGAATGGAGGCCGGTGGCCAATTGCCGAAACATGCCTGCAAAGGGCCATGAAAAGAGGAAAGGATAAAGAAAACTAGAGAAACCTACAGTTCGCGAACCCTGCGATATGTTGAAAAGGAAGAGACGAAATAAGACACGCAAGTATTGCGGCATCAATGGAGTCTTTGGCGGTAAAAGCTGTGGGCTCAGTTCGGCCGCCTCCCATTCCAATCCCTACCGAAGCCGCCCAGTGCTTTCCACGCCGCGCATCGACTGGCTCTGCTTGGGCCTTCCAACGGTCAGAGCGACGGCCATAAAACACACCGTTGAAGACAGGCTCTTGCTGCTGGCAAAGCGCTGAGGCCGCTTCGCACATAAGTCTTGAGGCAGCTTCGGTGACATCTTTTGTCCAAGACGACCCGGGAGCTTCACGAGGTCGACCGCACAGGGCAACAAAACAATAGCCTTCCTCCGAGCAATAGGTAGCTGGTGTTTCGCTACAAATAATTGTTAACCGGTAGCTTGGGACCAAGGCAAGGCCTCACTCACCCGTCCCAATCGTCGAGCACAAAACCTTCTGCAAGCAAGCTCTCCAGTGTCCGGTCTTCGCCTGTCGGCAAAAGAGCAACAGGCTGCTTAGCCTCTTTCGCAGCTTTGACGCGCCGTCCATTGAGCAGGGCGTCGTTCAGAGAAACATAGCCCGACCGAGCGACCAGCTCTGTGGCGGCAGGCGAAGCCAAGTGGAAGGGAAGCTGTGGCTTGGAAGCCATGCTGGTTCGGAGAGCGGCGACCTCTTTAACTCCGTAAGGTTTAGCAGAGCGGGCTTGGTTTCGACGCTCCCGACGTCCGAAGTCGCTGCCTATCGACACCACTCTTGCTGGGCTTGTCATTCTCCGCAACGGCCTTGCCCTGGAACTCGCTATCTTCGTTGCTTAGCTGCTCTTCCTCCCTCTCTTCGTCGCTCTCCTCATCCAAGCTTTTGGCAGCACGTTGTGCCAGCTGGTGGGCGGAGAAGTCCAAGGAATAAGCGCCATATTCCCGACCAGAACGGGTGGCGCGGGCTAAGGAGAACGATTAGAACGATTGAGTAAGCAAGATGGGAATAAGAAGGGCCGAGGCTTGGAGCTTCATGCAGCAGATACCCAGGGACGGGAGCCGTGCTGCAATCGGCGAAAGGGCGGCGGCAGAAGGGAAAGAAGCATGGGTCACTTACCTGAGACGGACAGCATCAGGGAGGAGGGGAGCGTCGTTGGCTAACGGCGCTCGGAAAAAGAGGTACAGGAATGAGGAGGAGGGAAAGAATAAACGTGGCATTAAATTTTTGTCACTAACGTCACCAAGTATACGACTGGGGACAAAATTTTGCCGTGTCTACGTCATTGCTTCTTGCAGGTGGCGCCATTCGCAACGATATCTCCGAACAGCCCGTCGGGCGTGCCAGCGCCAATTAAGCATGAAGATGGCGTGCTCGCGCGGCAATGTCGCAGGGTCGTACGCGTCCACCCAGCGAAGACAACGGTTGAAATGAGAAATAGCCCATCGACACTGAAGCTCTGAACGCCTGTGCGCTTCATCAGCGTCGCCCTCCTCCTCAAGATCGGCCATTTCTTGGGCGAACTCTAGCTCGTTTGTTTGCTCCAGGCGTAGGTAGATAGCATGCAGGGCAACCTCGATTTCCTGAGTGGCCGCTTCATACTCGGGGGTAAATCTATCCAGCGTCCCGTCTGTCGTCTCTTCCACTGGGGTCACAGGAAACATCATCCAAGATGAGATCGGGTCCCCGCGAGGGCTAAATTTGGGGTCGAAGTAGAATTGAAAGCGAGGCTGGTCAAAAGGGATAGCGAAACCGGCGTATTCGAAGGCCAACGCTGGCATACGCGGGGTTTTCAGTGGTCGAGCAACTTTGCGTTTGTGCTTATATCGATCGTATGCGCCAGAAACCAGCTGCCCACTTAAGCCACGTTAGCCGGCAAGCGACTTTCCGACAAATAAGTTAACGCACCGTGTGCTTTGACGGTACTTCTGCTGCTGGAGACGACGAGCTTCATCACGTTCAGCTTTAGTGGCATATTTGGTCGGTGGGCTCATGAGGGCTAAGAGCAAGTGTTTTTAACGAGTGACAGGGAGCGGTAGATAAGCGGTTTGAGGGCCAGCAGTGCCTGCTTCAACATCGACCCGACTGTCAGGGGAACCTCCCTTTCGGCCCCTCGGAGACGATTCCGATTCCGGTCCAACTCCGGCTCCGACTCCGGTGATCGCATCACCGCCTCCGTCAGGCGCATCGCCGCCCCCGCCTGGCGATCCCCCTGGGACCTGGCCTGCGACATGGCGCAGGCATACTGCACGGAGCAACGATCAACCTTGGCGCGTCAAAAGCGCAGTATATAGTTCCGCTACCTAGCAGGCGGACCCTTAGAGTTTCTTCTCTTTGGATCCTCCCCTGCTAGGTCAGCCTCACTTGTATTTGCTTACTTCTATTCACTCTTTGGATCCTCCCCTGCTAGGACCTTGATCTCAGGCCTCCGGGGTTGCCCTTACAGCAGAAGAAACTCTCTACGGGATCAACCGGACAAGATTGCTAGGTTCGGGCGCTGACTCAGGCTCGGAATACGAGTCCGTTCCGCCCTCGTCACCCCCCCTACCACTTGTCCCCTCCTCCTCTGTCACTCCTGTCATCCCCGCACCTGTCATGCCTTCCGGAGCTACTCCTGACGCTGACACTCGGCTGGATGCACTCGAGGCGAAAAATCGACCGCCTAACTGAGGCCCTTACTCTTCTCACCACCCAGGCTTCCGCTGCCGCTGCCGCCGCTAATACTGCTGGCGGACCCCAAACAACACCACCCCCGGAGACGTCGATTCCGACTCCGACTCCAGTTCAGGGCGATTCCGAGGCCCTCTTTGGCGACATCAACCTCGCCTCAAAATTGGTCTTGCGACCAAACCCTCCGTTCACCTTCAACGGCGATCGGAAACGCGGCCGCGTTTCTCTATGCGGTCCGCACCTACGCCCGCCTTGCCCCTGAGGCCTTCGTGGTCAACGGAGAGGCGAGCGAGGAAAAGGCCGTCCGCTATGCCATGTCGTTTATGGCAGAAGGACCCGCTCAGCAATGGGCGGAGCGCCACGGAAGCAAAGCCCCGTTTCCGTTTCCGTCCTGGGGCTCGTTCGTTTCCGAGTTCCGACTCCGGTTCGTCGAGGAGAATGAGCAAGATCATGCTCTCTCCAAACTGGAGACTTCCGCCTATCACATGGGCACAAAGGATGTCTACCAGTACACCGACGACTTCGAGGACCTGATGGACTTCGAGGACCTGATGGACCTCGCCGGATTCGAAGACGCGTTGGTCAAGGTGACCAAGTTCCGCCACGGACTTGACCCCCTGATCAACAACGGAATCACGTCCTCGAACGACCCCCCGGACCTCCGGGACTACCTTAGCTGGCGCACCCGGGCCTTCCGTCAATACGAGGCCCTGGTCCGGGCCAAGCTGATCAAGTCAGCCGCCCCCCAGACGCCTGGCGGTTTGATTCGGACTCCGTTTCCGGTCAACCGCATCCCGGCTCCGGCCCCTTTCCGCCCGGTGGCTCCAGTCGTGCCACCCGTGGCCCGCGCCCCCGCTCCGGCGCCTCCAGCTCCCGTCCCCATGGAGTTGGATCGCACTAGGGCTCGGGGTGCCCCTCGTCGCGCCTGCTTCAGGTGCGGCGACCCAAACCATCTCGCCCGGGATTGCCCCTCCCCCTGGGACGTCCGCTCAATGGACATCCTCGACGAGGTGATCCAACAACTCGGTGACGAGATGTTAGCGGAGTTGATCGCCCGCTACTCGGACACAGCTGCGCTGCCGGAAACAGTCGCGGAGTCGATGGCCAGAGAGGATTTTGTCCCCCGCGACGAGTGACTGGTGTGCCCTCGTTCGCGTCCGTAAATCGTTTCGCTTGTTTGTATGACGAATCAATTCCTTTGCCCTACAACGAGCCTGAAACGAAAGACATACCCTCCCCCCCCCGTTTCGACTCCGTCTCCGACTTCGCCCGCGACTCCGGTCATCGTCCTTCGCCGCCTCACTGCCTGGGAAAAGAAACTGCCCAAGCAGTACACTGTCGCTGCTTCCCTGGAGTGAACTCCCTCCACCTCCCGTTGGAGCTAGAGTCCACTACCAGCGCTTAAAGCTCTCGCTCTCTGGCCTGGTTGACTGTGGTGCCACCTCCGACTTTATCGACACGAACTATGTCGCTCGGAATGGCATTCCGGTCCGCACCCT